TATCAAATTAATGACAGTAGGTAAAGAGCAATTCAAAAAATATCGATAAAATATAGATGGACAATGTAAATCGATTGTGACAATAAAGATCAAAAATAATAGGGGTCTTCATCTAAAGTGATAAATTGATAACATTTATCAGTTTATCCGCATTCTTGCATGAACGCAACTTGCAAATAGTTGCATAAAATTATTTATTATTTAACTTATATAGCTAGTTACATTTCATTCTTATTTCGTACATTGTGCTCATTTGCTTTTTACGTGTTCGTAGCAATAGCCACCAGCTGGTCCGGGACTAATTTTGCTGAAATTTATACATTAATCCACCAAAAATGTTTGATTAAGGGCCGGTTACTCAATGTCTGGTTAACACTAATCTCTGGTTAAACATCTTTATCGACGTTACCGACTCCCTGTTATATGAATGGAGTCGAATACGTCGATAACCGGCCCTAAGTGTTAAACTTTAGTTAAACAGATTTCCATACAGTTCATTTATCAAAATGATAAATTTATCATTTAATCAATTTCATCAGCAGTTTACCAGGGAAATGTTTAGTAGCGCTCACATCGTTTTTGGGGTGGGTGGCGGAGGGGGAGAAGGCGGGGACCCCCAAACGCCCCCCCAGGGAGGGGGACAGTCCCCGCTTTCCAAAAAGGCGTAGTCCCCCCTTGGGCTCCTCCCACAGTCCCCTAGGGAAAAGTTTGAAAAAGGGGGAAAACGGAATTTTCTTAGGCAAACTGAGCAGATTGAAGTGGAATATGACCCAACTAACAGAAACCATGGGATTTTTTAATAAAAGAAATTATGCCAAATTAGATATCGGGTGATTTTGAATAAAGAATAAAAAAGTTAATTAAAAAGAGAAAAAACAAGTTTTTATAAAAAAAAATTCTTTTTAACAAATGTATTTTTGCGTTGGGATTATAACCCTCAGGCAGTAGAATTCTCCTTTCTGTGTTGCCAAAGAAAGGGGCTGAACACCTCTTGCAGAGAACACCTTTCTGCGTAGGCGGCCTTCGGCCGCACTTAGGGATTATAACCCTCAGGCAGTAGAATTCTACTTTCTGTGTTGCCAAAGAAGGGGGGCTGAACACCTTTTGCAGAGAACACCTTTCTGCGTAGGCGGCCTTCGGCCGCACTTAGGGAATATAACCCTCAGGCAGTAGAATTCTCCTTTCTGTTTTGCGAAGAAAAGGAGCTGAACACCTTTTGCAGAGAACACCTTTGTATTTTTTTAATGCTTACTGGGTTGTATCCTATCTTCTTTTGTCCCTCATTCTTTTGCATATTTTGGAGTTTGACAACTGAACTCCACCATTTAATTTGCATATGCAACCAAAGTCAGACGCGTGATTTTGAAGGTGTTTTTATTTAACGAATTGTGATTAATTGGTTAATATTAAAGTCATAAAGCAAGTTATAACTAATCGAGTAAAGTGTAAAGTGAAGGGGAATACAAAAATGTATTGGTGAAGTGACTGCTTTAAGGAGAATAGGAGTGATAAATGTACGCTCATTTCCGAATTTTACAAAAAAGGGCATATTTCAAACCCAATTTGTAAATAAATTAGTGACCAAAATTTACAAAAGTGAGTGTTAAAATAATGCGTAGACCCTTGACTACAAGTATGTGGATTTTTTTTTTGGATCGGGCCACCCCTTTGGACGGAATAGCCCGAAATAATTGTGAGCGCTACTAAACCCCACCCGTTTATCACTTTAAATGAAGACCCCTAAAAATTAGAATTTTCGGTTACTTAACCACTTAAGCGAGGTTTACACAATCAAACATATGTGACAATTTCGCTTGAGGCGAACATAACAGTCAGAAATCGAAAATGATTGTTAACCAGAGAACATGTTTGTGTCGAGCGGTTGGTTAAGCGTCGGTAGCCATTACACCATGTTATCACACATGTTTTATCGTGTAAACCCCGCTATTCATTCGAATGATTTGAATTCTTGCCAACGATAAAAAAGTTTTCGTTAAATTTAGCGAGCTGATCACTGAAGCCAGAATTTACAGTTTATGCTTCATCGACGGAATCTTGAAAATACAATTGTTACGACTTTCAACTTATTTTCGTGTAAACAAATTGAAAACAAACATTTGTGTGTAAAGCCAAAGTTCAAGTGCAGTCAGGCACGCTATAAAATGGTAAACCGACGTTTTACTTGACTTTGAGGATCTTTTGATTCATGAAACTTTATAAATGAATTATAAACCTTATAAAGTTATAGTTATTTAAACATTGTAAATTAGCTGTCAAAATATGTATGATAATAATTATGAATTATATATGAATTATTCATGATACAAAAATTAAAACGTAGTTTTACTTCTTCTTCTTATTCGCCATTGCTCCCATTTGACGTAAACTGTGCTTGAAGAAATTACAGAAAGGTTATTTACATAAAAAAAATTTCAAATATTATTCAAAAAAATATATTCATAGCAAAGAACGTAAATAAAAAGAAGGGACAACTCGTTATAATTGTGGCGAAAGTGCGCAACAGGGGCGTGCCTTCTCTTTTCATCCAATCAAAAAACGCACCAGGGCAAAAGAGAAGGCACGCCCCTGTTGAGCACTTTCGCTACAATTATAACGAGTTGTCCCTTCTTGATATCTACTCATTTACATATTTCTAATAAAGTTATCGGTTTAAATGAATAACGCTATTGAAAAAAATTTATTTACTGGCTGTATCCACATGACCGAAAATCATGCTTGCGTTCTACTTTTTTCTTTCGCATCGGGATAGGGTTTTATTAACAGGGCATTTGGGAGCATACTTTTTTATTTGTAAAATGTCGCCAAAAAGAAGGTTAAAGCTTTTCAGACTAAATTTGTACTTTCCCCTAAAATAAACCATGTTTCAACTCTGAAGAATTATGCGAAATGAGAAAATACCTGTGAAACAACAAACACGATAGTTGAAAGCATGCGAGATCTTGCAAATCGCTCGGTATGCGAGAAAGAGTATGCTTCGTACTTTTTGCGGTCTACACGAGCGGGATCTCGCATGCGTCGTCACACAAGCAAGATTTCCCAGCACGTGAAGATGGCCGGATATACATACAGGCTGCGTTTCTATATACATTCCAGATGATCCCATTTCACAGCCAGAATAAACAGAATGCGTTTGAAATATACGTAAACATATCATAAGGAACGTTCTAAAAAACAAGTAAACAAAATAGTTTATTCCAAACGTTCAGAATGAATAAAGAAATGCAGCCACAATAAGCAGAGAACGTAAAGTAAATATACGTTCTCTGGCAAAGCCACACAGTTTCACCTGGCATCAGCTTTATATTCAACTTCACGATTGTATTTATCGATTTTTAAATCGCTTTGTGTGCTATTGTGAATGATTTTTATACTTTTCTCCAGCACTTTATCATTGAATTCCCTTCACTAATTTTAAGATCACAGAATCTGTTTTGAGTTATAAATAAATCAAACAAACAAGTTTCAGTCAACCCGGCAGCTAGTTATTATATATACAGTTAAAACATTAATAATTTCATTTATTTTGCTCCTATTTGAATTGAACAGTGATAAAACATGGTTGATTTAACTGATTCATCATCACCATTCCAGCAAAGCATTCCCAATTTGGCATTCTATGTACCGGCTGTTGTTGTTTTTGGGCTGGCAGGTAAGTGAATGGAAATGAATTAGATTATATCCTAAATTACATAGCAATATTTGCCATAAACAATTATATGCATGCAGTAATAATACTTTATCAACGTTGCGCGTCTGTGCTAGGATGCTTCTCATAATTGGAAACCACCTGCCAATCAAAAATAAAGCCAATAAGCATTACGCTAGTGTGTTGTAGCCGAAAACCGGTTGTTTTCTTTTTCTTATTGGATTCTGCGGTCATTCACACTATAGTTTGTAGAAATAGCATGTTTTTTAATTCTTTTTATTCCTTTGATATTGAAATATTTTCTCCAAGATCATAGATATGTTTTAAGCAATGCAAGTTCTGCTCTTATTCCATCGTAGTGAGTTCTTGCATCTATTTGTCTGATGATTTGTTATTTGTCCTGCTCGATCTCTATATTTCTTATCACTTCATTCATAGGCTGCAGTTTAAGTATACATTTAATTAGTTATAGAATGTATGAAATAGCTTATTATGGCTACAAAAAATTAGCGCTATTCTGATATCTTTAAAAGATGCTAAACTTGAAACCTAAATGTTTTGATCGTGAAAAATACATGGCGGTGGTCTTAAAAGCGCAACGCGGCTGTTATAAGTCAACGCGTTATTGCTATCAATATTCGATTTTTGAATTGAAAATTGAATTCAGACCATTAATGGTCTTATCTGTACACATATGCACATGTATGTATGTACATATGTACCTGTGTACATGCACAGTATAACATTTTCTTGCTCAGATTTTAATTTTAATAAGTGCTGCATGCTGAGATGTGTGAACAGACATATTTAAGCTGATAAAGAGTGCCGTTTATTTAATATAAAGGTCGAACACATTGCCTACAATCGCTGCGCCTTTAAAGGCAGAGCTTTTCCATATCTTATCACAATTCATTGATATGTATGTACATACATATGTATGTACATACATACATATGTATTCCTTCCTTTTAATTTTGTGCTCATACCAAAAAATATTTTTTTTTGCATTAAAAACTTCAGCGTCCTACATACATACGTATGTACATACAGCCATACTATTTATTTATACACTGTGTTTGCTGACCATCGCACGCGTGTTGGTGGTCAGCAGAATGCTGACGTTGTCAAAAAGTCTGCACGGTTCAAATAAATAATAAATACATAGTTATTTATTGTTTTTGAGCTGATTAGCGTTATATTTCTTTGCATTTTGCTTAAGCATCAGTACATGCACGTACTGTTTTTGCTTTAAATACATAGGTGCATATCTATAAAGCACAATAAGCCAATACGTCGCCTGACCCTTAATTGCGAGCACATTGATTTTAAAGAAAATCAGTACATTGGTAAATGAACTACTACGTGGCTGTGCTTGCAAGAATTGTAATTATTTATTAATTGTAGTAAGTGTTTTAATTGGTACAGTGCTATAAACTTAGTGGAAATTGAGAAGATATGTACATGCGCTTGTTCAAAAACATTAATTTGGCATTGGTGGCTGATTGTGATCTGTAGAAAGGATGGAATTTTTATTTTTTTTAATTTATTTATAACTACAAAGCTAAATTGTAATCGCTAATTAAAAAATCTAGTACATATTAATTTAATCCTAAGGAATGTAGTGTTTATTATGTTCCGCAGACTTTTCGGCCTTTAACTTATTACACATAAGATAAACATGCGTTAAAAAATAGATCGGAAGATTCAAAAGTTTAAAGTAATCATTAAAAACAAAAAAAAAAATTCGGTTACAAAATATTAAAAAAATTCTCGCAGCCGGTAGGATTCGAACCTACGCTCCCAGAGGGAATCTGATTTCGAGTCAGACGCCTTAACCACTCGGCCACGACTGCTTGCTGGCCGCCGTTGCTTAAGTTACCATTTGAGTGAGCTGCTTTCGCTAGCGTTTTATCTCTTGTGTATATTATAGCGTAATACCAGCACTGCCAGACGATAGCAAATGAAAATTCGCTAATATTGATTTGCTGCGGGATTTTTTTTCGTTTATCAAATTCAAGTTCAATTCACAATAATAATAACAACACTTTAAATAAACAGCTCATGTGTATTGAAAATGCACTTTTTAGTTTTGTGCATTGAAATTTTAAATCCGGTAAAAATTTATATACGTACATATCGTCGTTTAAAGTAAAAAATCGCGTATGTGAGGTTTCATAAATTATTTTCTAAAGAGTTAAAACACTTATATTTCAAAAAGGTTCTCTTTTTTTATAAAGAAATCGCATTTCTGGCTAGTATATTTCAGGACGAATGGATAGCGATTGAGCCCAGAGCTTGTGTGAGCAAATCCAATTTTTGGCAGCAAATGTAAGTTACGCCGTTTTTCACTTTAAACGACGATATATCAAGCCCTAACCGCCAAATAAACGTAAGCGACATTTTTTTCAAAATTTTCTTTTTGACGCAGAAATGTATCTAGATGCTCTAGGAATATTTCTGCATCAAAAAGAAAATTTTGAAAAAAATGTCGCTTACGTTATTTTGGCGGTTAGGGCTCGATATTATTTTAAAATAAGAAAGAGCATTACGAGGGAGTTTTATTTTTACAGACGTATTGCTAATCAGATATCCTATATAATATATTTATCACACAAACGTTACACCATTTTACTGTTTTTGTAATTTGTATGATCGTACGATGTATTCGTCCCTTCCTCCCTGCAAGCACATCCCACTTGAACTCGATACATCTGTATATGTATACCAGGGTGGTCCAAAAATAAATGCGGGAAACAAATTTAAAATGTTAAGCTCTCTAGGATTTTTCAACGCCCATGAAGTTTTTCACGTGCATACATGCATATTTTATATGGGAAAAAAACACTTTCGTAGAATGGTTTTGAGGCAGTTCTAAATAATTTTTTTCGAACAAAAAATACGGGTATTTTTGCAATCCATTTGGATACATTCTAGGGGGTGAGAGCTTAACATTTTAAACTTTTTTAGACCACTCTAATATGTATATACTTATGTATGTATGTATAAAATAAACGAATTTCTTTCCTTTAAATAAAATATTTTTGTTTTTCCAATTTAAATAATAATTACCTAAAGAAAACAAACCTAAATAAAAATCCAATGTACTGTAAAATAAGTATTGCCTTAGAATTTCGTTAAAGTGCCAATTAACAACATCTCTCAAACAAGTGCTAAGCGTATTGCATAAGGAATATCTAACAAACGCAAGCAAGACACTTTTGACAGACAAATACTTTGCTCACAATGGCTGATGATCCGGCAAATCAAAAACAATTTGCCGAGGATGTTGCAGCACTTGCTGCTGCCGGTTCAGGTGACCACCTTGGCGATATCGGTGGTGATTATAAAATGCCCAGTGTTGATGAGGTTTGGAAGTTGATCGAACAAATGGAGGGTATTAGCGATGAGGAAAAGGCGAATTTGAAGGAGAATCTTTATAATCCACAAGAGGGCACAGCTGAAGATTTTATGCGACGCTATGCACAACCGGGTCCGGTGCACTCTTCCTGGGACTATACGATTTTCTTTGCAATGATTGCGGTTATCGTGCTCGTATTTGGTAAGCCAATGAAAATGGAAAGATTGTATGCCATCAACCAATTTATTTAAAATTATTAATTGGTATAAAATTCGCAACTTATAAAAGGCAGAAACATATTAAATTTTTAGTGAATTCGAAATTGTGTACAAAACATTAGTAGGATTTTGGTAGAAAACGATTATTTGTTAGGATAACGACAGGATATGTATGTATAACAATTGTGACAGTTTTTCTCTTGTTGGCTAATTTTGTATGTATGTATGTATATTTGAACTCTCGACTTTCAGTATATGCATATACATACTATGTCCATTAGGGTGGGTCGATTCTTTTTTTTTTTACAAAATCGCATAGTATTTTCGGAATTTCGAGCCTGCACATGTTCAAATGAAAAAATTACCTTTTGACAAAATTCAACAATATTGAGCTTGAGGCCGTTATTTTAATGAAAATTTTAGGGGAAAACACAACAATTTACATTTTGGTAGAAGTTATAGCTGCTATTTCGGAGATCACCACATCTCCTCATCAGACTCCTTCAACGGGGACAACAAAATTATAATTTTTTCATTCCTTGCCTGTTTATGTACAATGAATCCTTTTCTTAAAAGTTCTCTATATAAAAGGTCTATATTTTAGTTTCTGACATTTGTAATATTTGTTTATTTATGCATTAGTACTTTTTACAAAAACCATATAGATCCAAATTTCAAATTTTGTGCAATATTAAAAAAAAAAACTAACAAATTCTGGCCAAAATTTCGAGCTTCTTGACTCAATTTTTCAGAAATATTTTGAGAACGCAGTTTTTTAGCTAGGACTTACCGGTGATTTTTGGCAATTTTTTTGTGGAAGGTGTTGCTCCATATAAAAAATCTTCGTATGGAAGAAAAAGCAAAAAATTTATAAAAATCAACGGCAAGTCTACTTCCACCTCATTTTACTAATATTGAATGGACTACAAAGCTGTAGACTCAAAATCTTTCTAAGAAAAAAAAGTAACTGAAATTAAGTAACAAAAAAAAAAGAAAAAGTTATAACTTGCCAATATGTGGTGCGTTGTGGGCTGTATTTTTGGGTGTAAATATGGTAAGTCAATTAAATTAATTAAGTCTTGTCTTGTAACGTCATGTTCGATTTTTTCTCCGTCGACTTCACTATTCCTAAGCAATTTATAGTTTCATTACACTGTCTTTTTTTTTCTTTTTTAAACGCGAAATTTCTTTTTTCTTTTAACAATTATAATTAAAATATATTTTGAAGAACGTAAACACGGCACTTACAATTGAATATATTAACAGCTTCATGTCGTTGGCATTTGCATTTTATTTTTAAGGTTAAGTGATTTATAAACATTCGCTCTCAACACTTATTGAAGGTTTATTTGAAAAAACTTTAAATAAACTTAATATTAAAAACAACCTTTTAACGTTTATTATAGCAACTTACTTCAAGTTATTTTTTAAAAATCATTTGCTGAAATGCTTGTTTGTTTGATACAGAGAAACAAAGAATTAAAAAGTCTGAAGTTTCCGAAATTCTTTTAAAACGCTGTCGCTAATAACTTCATTTGTCTCCATAGGCTTTACTCATCGACCATATCAATGCAATAAACTACATGCATACACACATATGCATGTATTCATAAAAACCACTAGTTTGTAGACTGAAATCGTTGTTAAAAGGGAAATCAGGGCCTCCGATAAGATTAATGCACACAAAGTAAAAAAAAAAATATGAGCAAAGATAAAATAGAAATGGAAAAATAAAGAATTGAAAACAACAAGGCGCTCCGACTTCTATGCGGCTATCAGTATTCTTAGCAATTTTGCTCTCCCACTTGCACTTGCTGGTTTGCCTCAAAAAACAACCAGTCGCTAGCTCCCAGTGTTTGACACCGCCAAAAGCGGACGGTCGGGTCGGTCTCTCCGCTTGTTGAACTCACATTTGTTGGCAGTCGAACGCAAACACTTAACACATTCGTACATCAAAGTTGTTTTTAGCATAACTCGCTCGTTGGCGTGTACAAGCCCACAAATTCGTGTATAGATTCTGCTAATACGGCAGGGAGCACATGCTCTGAGCGATTATGGCTACCGGTGGCGGTGAACATCTGCACATAATCGATCAGCTACAAAGCACTGTACAATCGATCATACGACAAATCGGGGGTGATAATAGCTATGCCCAACGCCTCCTCAACAAAATACACGCGCTGCAGGAGAAGGTCGAGTCACTATCCGGGCAGGAGCGTATCGAGTTCCTACACAATGCTAAGGATACCTTGCGTAATACTATCGAACATGCCGAGCAGAAGCTAATGCAATATACGAACTTTCAGCAGGCCTACAATTATTCGATCGTGGCGGCTGTGATATTTACGGTGCTGTTAGTTATCGGTGCGTTGACTATGTGTTGTGCTTAATTGTTGCTTTGAATTTTTCTTTGTTTTAAGTTTGATTGTTGTGCTAATAAGTACACGAAATGCTTTGCAAATTTATTAGAAAAGCTCGCATGTAGGGGAGAACAGTGATTTTCTAGTATCGTTGGGTTTAAAGGTTCATTTTGTGTTAGTTTTTTATGGCCACACGTTCTGTGTATTGGGTTTGATAGACTGTAAAGACTACAAGTGGTTACACTAATATTAGGTTTGTTATTTTTACATTTTCGGGCTGGTTTCAGGCAAATGAGCATAAGTATGAAATTCTCGGATATCAACAGTTTTCAATAATTCGCCTGGAAAAATACTTCGGGCGCTCTTGGGCTAGTAAGAACCAAAAATTGCTATCTCAAAGTGGCTCTCAGTAGCCCGAGAATCCACCAAAGAAACAAAATGGGTAGTTTCGGGCAGTCAGGGACGAACAAAATAACAAACCTATTATAATTCATTGGAATATTACAAGAAGAAATTGTTTGCCCTATGATTGTATGTATTTTTTTTTTCTTTGAAAAAGGCAAGGTTATCGTAATTACAGTGAAAGTTTATTGCTACAATAATACTGTAATTACTTCAGATCATATAAATATACCAACTTTAACTACCAAACTTTTTCAGTTAACTGCGAAAGTACCAGACGTACCACAGTTTTTTTTGCCAGTCATTTTCAAAGCATTTCTTGGCTGGTAACCGAAAAAGGTGAAGACAAACAAAGAATTAACATGCGTGTGTTTTGATTGCATTTCGGCTTTGTGCTCTTAAACGAATAACTTTTAAAAAGAAAGTAGTTTGACGAGTTTTATTGCATGTTTTGTTTTCGGCCTCGGCACGTAGTAGCCAAGTTTTGAAATCACTGATTTGTTTTGAAGCGCACAAAGCTGTGATTTCTCGGCCAATATTTAAGCTCTATCTTCATATTTGTTTAATAATTCATACATACATATGTAAACCTCTAATACATTATTCTGGCATAAAATATTTAGGGTAAATATGTAGTTAGGTAGCACAAGAAAATAACCAAATCCGTATTTTGTAAATTAACAACTTGATCTGGGAAAAAATGGCTACAATGTGAGCAAGACCCACCCAGTGGATACTATCAGGAGCTGAAAGCACTGCCAAGAGGACATCTTGATGGTCGAGAGGCCTTCCAATCTGCATATTGTTTTCTTTTTATTTTCTATTGAGTGACCCAAATTAAAGGCCTTCTGATATCCATCATACTCCCAGTAGATAATTTGAGGAGCTAAAAGCCCTTCCAAAAGGCCTTCTTGATATGCCTTTCGAATTTACAAGACTGCGGTTTCCAGATCGCTTAGTTTTTGCAATGACAGTAAACAAGAAATACTTTAAAATAAAACCCAAACTTTTATCGAAAAACAAATGTATGATAATTCCCTTGGAAAATGCGTTTATTCTTTGAAGTATTAAAAACGTGTTGTGAAATAATATTAGAGTTATTAGATGGATGAAATTTAAATATTACAACGTGGGTATTTCTACTATTATATAATTTGAGATATTTTAATGCAAATAAACAGCCTGCTGTGCCAAAAAGTTATTATTGAATTTCATTCCATAACACCCAAGCTATACAACTATCCTACCGTATTCTGCTATCACGACTATAGTTAAATTAGAGCAGAAATAAAATATAACATCTTTACATAAATTATATTTCATATTTGTATAAATAAAATATGTGGGGTGAAACCTGCATGTAAAAGCTAGTGCTAAATACTATGAGCCGTTTATTTTGAAAGTGGCATAAGTCACCTCATATCTCTTGTACTGTGCAGGGCTGCAAAAAAACGGGGCGGTTCAGTTCAGTGGTTCGCACCAATTAGAAAAAGCTTGTACCGGTTCAAGAAGCGGTTCATGAGTATTTCTGAACCGCGGTTCGGTTTGGTTCAAATGTTCAATTTTTTGAATGCCAAAGGATACAAATATTATAAAAATATGATAGATCTACGTACATATATAAAAATAAAAGGCTTTGTTATTTAGATCAAATTCAAATATCCACGTGTATAGTGGTGGAAAAATAAGCGCGACATTTTCAAAATTTTGGCAATTTTTTATTTAATGATTAATGTTTTAAGTATAGTGCATCTTCCAATAAAAACCTATCAGCTCCAAGTTTAAAAATTCGTGCAAAAATTTTTCAAAGCTTCATCCAACTTGCAAACTTTTTAATAAGAATTTCTGGAAAAAATTTTAAGTTTTAAGTTGATTTTTGGCAATTTTTTTAACGGATTCTCTTCCATACATGTTCAGTGCACGCGTGATAATGTGAACACTGTAAAATCTAAATACCCCAAAATATGAACACTTTTTACAAGCTTTTATTTAACTTCACTTGTATGTATGTATGTCCTAGAATTTTGCAATCAATATTTAACAAACTTCCCGATGAGCTAGATACTTGAAACTTCAAAATTAGCTCAGAACCCGAAAATCAGACATCTTGGATTGTCTGAAAAAAAGGAACAAGTGTAACCATGAAGAAAAAGTAGAAAAAAATTTCTGAGGAGGTACATAACGCGTTTCATTCCTGTGAATGAAAGATTAGTTTTATTGA